GGGCTCGTCGGCCATAGCCATAGCATTCAGGGCTCACCGGGCCATAACATTCAGGGTTGCTCAGGGCTCATCGGCCGTAGCATTCAGGGCTCACCGGGCCATAATATTCAGGGTTGCTCAGGGCTCATCGGCCAGCGGGCCATAGGATTCAGGGTTGCTCAGATTCAGCCATGGCCTTGTCGGGCGCCGACAAACAGGTGCTGCAGAACATGCTGCTGAGAGTGCAGAGGAAGCACTTGAAGAAGGAGATCGAGGACGAAACATCCTACTGCACGGAGGATGAAGAAAGGGAGCTGCAGTGCCGTGGCTGTTTCAATATGCTACCTAATAACCTAAAAACCCAAAACTGAACTAAAGCTGAGCCACCCGCATAACACCTAAACAATAGCTTGGCCAGGCACTCCAAGCTCCAGATCAAAAACTACTTGGAAAGCATCACTCTGGAGCAGTTCCGCGAGTTTTGGAAAAAGAAGGAGCGCAAGGCCCAGCAGCAGAGTGCCGGCAGTGCCAACAAGAAGGACAAGAAGAAGAATAAAAAGAAGGCCAAGAAGAAAGACAAAAAGCGAAAGGCGGTGGCAGCGAGTGCTGATGAGGGCGATTGACTTTCGCCATGTGCATCTTCACAGCCATGGTTCTGACGGAGTGGTACCAAGCGGCTGACGTCCACGAGCTTCTGTCTGGGCTATGTGCACCACGATGCACCACGACCACCACGATGCACCACGACCACCACGTGCACTACGACCACTTCCACACGGCATTATTGAGACTGGCACTGACAGGAAAAAAGACGCCACATGGGATTTCATTTGAGATTGGGCCTTTTTGTGCATGGTTTCAGGGTTGCTGGGCTGTGGGGTTTTTCTTGGTTTAAAAGGGCTCTTGGCTTTTGGTAGTTCCTAGTTACCATTTTCCCACTGGGTTTCCCCCCCTAGCATTCAGGGCACCCGATTCCGCTTCTGTGGGTCCTTCCCCTCCTTGTGTCACCACTAACCCTTCATCCCAAAATACCACCTTTGCCTTGACAATCTTGACCAAGCCAGAATCACAAATCCCGAATGCCATCGTGGAACCACATAGTAATCCCGAAACCTCAAACCCCAAACCCGAAACACCAAACCATACCAAACCTTATGTCCCTGACCCGGCATCCACCTAAAGCTACCCATTACCCAGAGGGTCCATATATACATATATATATATATATACTGTTATATACGACTATTACTATTTATAGTTGGGGAACTTAGGTCCATACCAGTAGTCCAGTATTGTATTGTATGTGGACCCTTAGGATTAAATTGATCTTGGTGTCATGCTTCCCCCATAAACTTGGAGTGCACGGGTTTCCTTTTACCGTTCGAACCCACGAAACGAAATTTTGCTTGCGCCCAGGCCCTCATGGTACACTCCACGGTGCGGCTGGCCACGAACTCGGGCGCGGGTTTCTTACTCCCATTCAGGGTTCGGGTTTGGGTTGGCGGTAGGGGTTTAGCTTATGGCTGGCTTTTGGGGCACGGGTTTCGGGTTTTCAGTTTGAGGCTTACGGCTTGGGATGTAAACTTTAGGCTGCCTGCTCTTGCGCATTAGGGCTGTGCTGTGTTTAGTGGCCGCGTTGCCTTTCCCCGTAGGACATCGCGTCTTTTTTCCCACGTCCTCCCTCAAAATTGCTTGTGCCCAGGCCTGGCCTACGAATCCTGATGGCGTTGCTGGCTGTGGGCTCGGGTGGGGCAACTTAGGCTGCCTGCTCTCGCTGTAGGGCTGTGCCACCTTTGTGGTTGTGGTTGTCCGGTTGGGGGTTAGGGTTTATGGTTTGGGTCTTTAGTTTGGCTACCTCATTCTTCATACCTTGCCCGTCGGACCTGTCGGCTGAAAATAGGCGCCCGAAGGTTTCAATTTAATATCTATAGGCTATAGGCTATAGGCTAGGTCTACAGGGGCTATAGGCTATAGGCTACAGCGGGTTCTAGTTCCAGCGAGACAGCTCTCGTGTTCCCGGGTAATGTACAGTACCAGTGCTAGTGTAGGCATTGCGCTCTTCGGCTTTGTTAGGGTTTAGTGGGTTGAGGCGGTTCGGGCTCGGTTTAGCTGGGCACTGGCACTTTATTTATGTAACAAAAACTAACTAACATAACTGCCCAAGCTACATCAACCGACAACCCTACAATCCGTGCTCTTGAGTGATTCCGGTGTGCAGGCTTGAGACATCACTGTACAGCAGTGTAGCCTTTCAGGCTTGGGTGTTCTAGGTTTCGCGGTGCATTTTGGGTTCTAGTTCTAGCTTAGACGACCGCTACGGGTTGAAGCTTGCCTCGCGATGTCGAGCGGAGATCAAGCAAATCGTCATAATGGAGACGACCGACAGCCTGAGGCCTTAAGGGGGTCATTTGCGGTGTGGGACCGGTCTGCTTTCGGATGATGTTGTGGCAAAAAACATAGCCTGGAGATTAGGAGTCGTTTTCCGAATTCCAAGATTTGTTGTTCTTACATGAGAATGCTGGGCGATGAACTTTTGAAGCGTATCAGTACAATCTCACACAAATCCTAGCAAAGCCTAGAAGATCATCGGTCTTCCCAAGCCGTTCATTGGGGCCGGCTGTCTCGTGCAATCGATGCGCTCGAGAACGGTTTGGGTCTAGGCTAGGGGTCTCGGGTCTTCAGCATCTGAGGGTGTAGATAGTCTAGTCCAATAGACTATAGTCTATATAGTCTCTGGTCCATAGTGTGTAGTCTATAGTCTATAGTCATATACAGTGTATTGTATTGTCTATATCGTCTACAGGCTATAGTGTCTATTGAAAAGAAGGGAGATGTGTGGATATTTAATGTATTTAATGTATAGTTTACCGTTTACCCAAAAAGCGGCTCGGTCCGGCTAGGGGAAACCTGTGTTAACGCGTGGGTAAAGGTCTTGCCGATGCGATTATTGGGGCTACCGGGCTACCACCCCCCCACCCCCGTAACGCCATACCACCGAATCCCCAGGCTCGCCGGCGTGACCCCGCCNNCCCCCCCCCCCCCCCCGCCCCTTCCCTCCTCCCCCTTCTGGCCTTCCCCAACTTGAACTGGGCAGTCAGTTACTCTCTCCGCTGACATAATGCCCGCGGCGATGTGCTTTGGCGATTACTGCTTCGAGCCATTCCCAAGCCGTGTGGATCTTGCAAGCTTTTGATGAGGGGGGCATGCAAGAATTCTGAGTACTGATAAGAAATTAATAATAAGGTAACAGTAGAATAGAATCTATAATCGATTATTTCGTCGATCTGCGTTTAATTTGCATGAGTGTGCTCTGCTTGTGGCCCTACCGAGGAGGATGCCTGGC